CAGGTGAAGCTCTTGCTCGACGAGTTGTTTGTTCAATTGCTCGGCCATCAAGATCTTGTATAGGTTGTCAGTCGGAGCGCCATCGTCAACTTCGAACGAATCAAAGCTATCCAGGTAAAACTCTTGCTCAACAAGATGTTTGTTCAACTGCTCGGCCATCAAGGTCGAATTCACACTGATCATCTCGCTGGTAAAAAGCGAATGTTGAGATAGTGAGATGGAATGCTTTTAATACATCAAAGCAATAATATTGATAATGTTGATGAAGCGAGGTGTCTTCTTGCTTCGGCTTCTCGTCGTGAAATCGTTCAATAGCCCTAAAAAGGACTGTTTTGGTGATAGCAAACATCGCTATTAATGTACTTAAATGTAAATGTGTTTTACAACGTAATGTTAGCGTCCCGCGGTTACACCTCGCAAGGAAATTTAATGCAATCGCACGTGCTTACATGCTAATAGTGAATTGGTTTCAAAGGATTAAAAATATAAGGTGATAGATATTACGGAGTGAATGAAGGGGGGAAAGAGCGGAGACAATGGCCGTATTCCAAAATTCATTATCAAATTCATTCCAGTACTGAAAATCTATAATTCACGTATATTATATATTTCCAGTACTGGCAGTGAATTTTGGAACACGGCCAATGAGAAGCAGAGCAAGACATATCATAAGATGCGGTCATATAACAGAACTCATGTCTCGTTATCTTTCAACAATCAAATCAATGTCTCTTCCACTTCGAATGTAGAATTAACAAGAACGTGGTACCGGCTGTTAATTACACGTGTTGACGATTTATATTGCTCGTTCGCGCCCGGGCGGTAACTGCCGGGCGGTTTTTAGTGACACATGATTTTGTGGAACCGCGGAATTACTATGATTTTGAGACAATGTAAAATGCTAAAATCAAAATGATTAAAAAAAACCGATTTCATATCGATCATAAAGAAACCCGATCGCTATCTGTTTGGAAAGCGATGGTCGATGAAAAGGTGCTTGAGGGAACCGACAAACCTGTTTGAAGATGGCCCGCGGCCGGCGGTCAGTGATCATATCGCACGATAGTTCGTAAACTAATCATCCAGATTCTAGTCATTATATATCCGAAGTGAGAATATCGCGTTCAATTTTACATTTCTAATAAATGATCGTTCCAATGGGTTTATCGACTCTCTAACTTTTCTAAAAGATTACAAAGATGTTTTCCGAACGTGATCGATAAAGCACGATGGCCGCGATAATTACGGATGCAAAAAAGAAACAGAATTAAGCGAGTTGAAAGTAAGTAAAAATAAAGTAAACAGATTAAATGCCCCGCATTTGAGAATATTAATTAATTTATATTCAATGTGATTGACCTCCTATCTTAAAACATTATAATTATATTAATAAAATTAAAATCAAACAAAAAATCTCAAGTTAATTGAGGCTGTACTCTATTTTATAAGTGTCATATGGAATGCGGACAAAATACTAACAGAATGGGAGGAAGGCGTTATAATATCCATAAACAAAAAAAAGCGATAAGTTAGAATGTATCGAACTGCAAAAAGAGGAAAATTCTGAGAAGAATATTTAGACCATGCGCGTTGATCAATAAACATTAAGATACCGAATAAGGATTAATAAAATATATGAATTGTACGAGAACACCAGATATAATTCATAAGATAGAAACAAGCTGCTTGAGAGGAACTTGTTTAGAAGACAATAATAGAATAATAAAGCTCGCATAGAAAGAACTGTTTTCGCGATCTCAAAAACAGAATTTATTTCAAGATGTACAACGAAAACTATTTCGATGTCGGTGGTCCATCTCTCGTTCCGACAAATGGGCACAACAACCGACAGGCGCGTAGGTAAAACGCGTGCAAATTAGTCACCGATCTTCAAGCTGGCGATTCCTACGCACGCGTGCGTAGCAGGGCACGCGAGAGCCAGATGAACGGCTCCGGATCACGTCGCAAGCCGTGCGTAGGCACGGGCCGACACAGACATACTCCATTCACTTGGCGCCACATTCATTCATAGGGCTGGGGAATGCGCCTGGCGAACGCGAGTTGGTCGTACGTCGACGATTCCGTTCTAATGCCGCCGTCGCTGCCGCAATCGGCGTCACCATTGACGTCGGCCAGCCTTCGTTTAAGACCGGTAAAATCATTCTTGTTGCCCTGATAATCCACCTAACTTCCAGTCCGCCTGTGCTCTTGCTGTGATACGGAGACAATATGCATACTACGTACCATTGTTCCCGGTAATGTAATAATGATTATAATAAAATTTTAATCGGATAAAAGAAACATTCATATTTTGAATTAAATATAAGATAAAAATATCGACTATATGACCAATATAGATTTTAAATTATTCCATCAATAACTAAAACTCAAATATTACATTCACATAAAATAGTGCAATTACCAGTTAACTCAAACATGAAATATCGCGATAAATGATCAATCGAATTGCTTTATTGCCATATGCGTATGCGTAAACATTTATATAGATTATATAAATAAAAAACCGACGTAATTTCATTCTGAATTGGAATTAGAAATTAATTTATCTGCATGCTTTATTGGTGGAGATGGTACACGGAAAAAAATATTCCTCGCAGCCTCAAGATATTTTTTATATTCTAATCGAAATATTATATATGACTGCCTTTTACATCAAAGCGTCGAAAAATTAATAACGAATACATTACCGAGATCTGCTTTCATTCGAAGCAAAATTTTAATGAAATTATTATTCGAGACAATCATTAACGAAACAAGTTGGCAATTGCGGGCACTCGATACAACAGACAGGAGATTTGCGAAGGTGGCGGGATTTACATTGTAAATTGCTCATCATGGATACAATGCGTGGACCATTCGGCCATTGTCATTATGAAAATGACAGCGTAGTCCGAAGAATGGTAGTCGCGCACTTGTGTATCGGCACGCAAATATGCTTTTATCGTTTTAAAGACAAATGCATTTAATTCACTACGAAGCTAATTTCTATTGTCGTTCACTTTTGCAATCTCCGCAAAATATAAGATATGTATTACCTTCTCAATATTAAAGAGAAATAAATCTAATATTTATTTGGCATTAAATTCTTATTGTTACGCTATAAAATTTTGGAATATTGTATAGATATCATTGTCGACAAAGGATTTCCGCGTTTGATAGCGGAAGTACTTGGAGAGACGCGGGAGAGATCGAAGAAGAATGTTTCAGGGCTCTCTCGATTTGCATACTGCGATCAAGGAGGCACGTGGGCCAATGCGGCGTAATGAACCGCACTTATGCATACACGATACACATGCAGTGACACCTTCCCTGGAAGTATGAATCATCATTCGAGAGCCGTATCCCGGCTTCAGCTTCAGGTTCAAGTTTCCGATATTCAAAGCTATATCCACGACATATTCACATCGCCCACGCTATTTCGAAGAAAATTATCACGTCGATGTACGCGTTTAATCAAATGTATGCGCTTATTAAAAATGAATTTTTTACAAAGTGATCGAGTCGATTAAAATTACAGTGGTGACATTCAACATGTAAGGAATTTTAGGTAACGTTTTTAATCAATCGATATGTAAAACGAAATAATAACGACACGCGGCTCACTCGTCAACATTAATATCCATAGTTAGCTATACAATCGCAAATCGTGATCGGCATAGTTATTGTTATCCCACGAATGTCATCGGGGTCCACGATCGGTAGTTGTACACATATCGCGAATGGATGGATACGATAAAGTGCAGCGCGATAACAATCTCGTTTATGAGCAACTCTTGGACGAAGTTACCCCAATCGTAACCACGAACGAAAACAATGTCATATCCTTGCGGCAAGAATATGCATCCTGCTGATCGTGGGCAACCGAGATAAAGGTTCTCGTGAAAGGACAGTCGTAAACTTTTATCGATATTACATCAATGGAATTTTCAAAGGTCGAAAGCATCCCAAGTTGATCGCATATTATTCATAAATTAATTGTATTTAAATGCATAATTTTTTTTACACTTAAGTAATTACACGGACGCAACCGAACATAACTAGGAAGTTAATTTCGCGACTATGTTCATGATATGGTAAGTTCCATAAAATTTAATAATTCAGTCTTTATAAAAGAACGTTTATTAATTTTTATGCAAGATTCAGGAAATGTTCAACAACAGTCGGAACACTTGTCGCGGGGATCGGCAATCTTAATGGGACACCCACGTGCAAATCCTGAAGGAAGCGACTCTGTGGCACTGTACATTTTCAGAACGCGTGTCCAATCGACTCGACACGGCGCAATCGGATTCCGTTAATTGTAAATTTATGGCGGCCGCGTGTAGAATTGCACCATTCCTCATGAATAGGCTAAGAAAACCGTGAGAGACTCGTTCGTAAAAATGTTATTCCAATATTGTTAATTTATCTCTTCAATATTAATTTAACCTATCTTCATGATAATTAGATTTTAATTAATTAATTAGATTTTAATATCTCTAAATCATATTTCAATCTATAAAAAAATTGTAATTATATAATATCTAATACTAAATTTTATATATAATAATAAAAGTTTCTTTAACAATATTTAGATAATTCATCCTGCAAATTCATTTTTGAGCTTCTGCGCATATCTTATCATTGCAAAAGGTAGCGATCGTGGTACATTATCGCCTCGAAGAAATTTTCAGCGGTCGCCAACGCAATCAATGGTAGCGCTTACAATGCCGGCACAAGACATGAGGTGGCAATGTCGACAAGTACAGCGTATATGCCTACCACCGCGGAGGTGGTTCCAAACATGAAATAATCACGCGTGGTCGAGCAAGAGACGTCGAATGAGTCACACCACGTGCGATATTGTGAACCGCGAATATTGCCATCGTGAAGACCATTAGCGCACGAATGGCGAAGAGTACGTTATTAATTTGAAAAAAGTCTATACACAGAATCCATATAGTATCTAAGCGGATAAATAGTATAATATGAAAATGAGAAGATAGACATATGAATAGAGAATAACAAAAAATTGTGTTAGAAATGTTCAAGGAGATCGAGGAATTTTGCGGTAAAAGCTTGAATCGCGGTCAATTAGGAATGAAATTCATTTTTTAGCTTCTGCGCATATCTTATCATTGCAAAAGGTAGCGATCGTGGTACATTATCGCCTCGAAGAAATTTTCAGCGGTCGCCAACGCAATCAATGGTAGCGCTTACAATGCCGGCACAAGACATGAGGTGGCAATGTCGACAAGTACAGCGTATATGCCTACCGCGGAGGTGGTTCCAAATATGAAATAATCACGCGTGGTCGAGCAAGAGACGTCGAATGAGTCACACCACGTGCGATATTGTGAACCGCGAATATTGCCATCGTGAAGACCATTAGCGGCATGCCGCCGACATTACCTGCATATAATTCTAAAGACAAAGACAGCCGTCGCGCTCGCGTGGTCTGACAGGTCGACACGTCATCCAAGATGCAATAAAATTTTTCGCGGGTGTTGTTGGGTGGTTAACTAATGAGTTAATCCAAAAACTTCAGTTATTAATCATCATCGAAATTTAAAGATCAAAGCGTCGTATTTATAAAAACTGTTATAGAAAAATGCGAAAAAATTTGTAAATTTTTTTCAAGTGATCAACCGACAACAAAAGTTGTGGCAAAGACATCCACTACAACAACAGAAATAAACACAAAAGCTGTCGTAGAAACTTCATTTGGCGTGTAGGAGGTAAGAAATTTGCTTTTTTAATAAATACATTGTTGCTACGTTTCTACAACATCGAGCAGCCTAAAATTGGCCGCGTGAAGTACAAATGAGAAGGGAATTAGACCTATCTTACACAATTCTCGTAGCCGTAGTATAGACGTAACCGTAAGAATCAACCAATAACGAGCGTCCGTAGTATTTCAGCCAATATGGCTAAAATATTATGAACGCGCGTATTAGATGATTCTTACGGTTACGTCTATACTTACGGCTACGGAAGTTATATAGAACAGGCCTTAAATAAGTAATTGTCTGCATGGAGAGTCTCGGTAATCATAGGTATACTGTCATCATCTGCCACCCTAAAACAATACCGCTAAAACATCGAGAAAGGCCGTCAAAGGACCGCTGCGACGAATCAAGATAGAAGTGACCTCGCCCTACGATTCACAAAGAGATTGCGTTCGCATCCGATATTTATTGACAATCGCAGGATTCGGCACTCGCGGTATTGGCGGACACCATACTTATCACAGACTGCGCGAAATACTTGTTTGGAGAATGACGTCTCACGACAAACACTGATACGCGCGAAGCGACGGACTCCGAATATAAATAATCGCGGTAGACACGTACGCGTAATCCAATGGGAAGATCGAGCGAAATTAAGTCAAATATACTATCTCTACCGTTCAATCCTTTCCGAATAAGTTCATTGCCCATTATCTTCTTCTCAGCTTGCATCACACTTATCAAATACATTAAGTCAAATATGTCTCTACCGTTCAATCCTTTCCGATCGAGTTCATTACCCATTATCTTCTTCTCAGCTTGCATCACACTTATCACAGATTTCGCGAAATATGTGTTTGGAGAACGGCATCTCGCGACAAACACTGATACGCGCGGAGCGGTGGACTCCGAATACAAAAAATCGCGGTAGACACGTACGCGTAATCCAATGGGAAGATCGAGCGATCGTCCATCGCTAGATTCGGCACTCGCGATCCGTCACTCGCGATATTGGCAGATACCACACTTATCACAGATTGCGCGAAACATGTGTTTGGAGAACGGTGTCTCACGACAAACACTGATACGCGCGGAGCGATGGACTCCGAATGCAAATAACCGCGGTAGACACGTATGCGTAATCCAATGGGAAGATCGAGCGATCGTCCATCGCTAGATTCGGCACTCGCGATCCGTCACTCGCGATATTGGCAGATACCACACTTATCACAGATTACGCGAAACACGTGTTTGGAGAATGACGTCTCACGACAAACACTCGAATGCGCGAAGTGATGGACTCAGAATGCAAATAACCGCGGTAGACACGTATGCGTAATCCAATGGGAAGATCGAGCGATCGTCCATCGCTAGATTCGACACTCGCGATCCGTCACTAACGATATTGGCAGATACCACACTTCTCACAGATTGCGCGAAACACGTGTTTGGAGAACGGCGTCTCACGACAAACACTGATACGCGCGGAGCGGTGGACTCCGAATACAAAAAATCGCGGTAGACACGTACGCGTAATCCAATGGGAAGATCGAGCGATCGCCCACCACTAAATTCGGCACTCGCGATCCGTCACTCGCGATATTGGCAGATACCACACTTATCACAAACTGCGCGAAACATGTTTGGAGAACGGCGTCTCGCGACAAACACTGATACGCGCGAAGCGATGGACTCCGAATCAAAGAGGACTCGAACGCAATCTCTATATGAAAACCGTAAAGTGAGATCACTTCTATCTTAATTCGTCGGAACAATGCTTCGACGCTTCTTTCGATGCTTTAGATGTTAAATGAAACATCTATCACAGACGAGTGAATTACGCGAAAACACATGTATTTGGAGAATGATCTCGCGACCAACACTGGAACACGCAATCGATGGACATTGGTTAAAAACGATCGAGATTTGCGACCGCGTAATCCAATGGGTAGATCGAAACAATCGTTCCTTTCTGGATTCGACATTCTCGATTCGTCACACGCTACTTTAAAAGATATTCGAGACTTCTAAAAAAATATAACTTCAATTTAGAAAGGAGGGCAAGGACGGTTCTTGGAAGGCAATAGCAAACCACCGAGAGTATCTTGCCAAGAGAACTTCTCTAATCTAGGCCGTTCGGAACCAGCGATAAACTGTAGGTCCCATATGTCTGCGGTAGGCGCACACCATAGACATATGTTGAGAGGTCACCACATCTCTGATAAGAGATTACGGACTGAGGAAGAAATTTGGCAAAAATTATCTTTCTTCTTGAAAACTGTGCGAAGCTAGTTGCCAAACTTTATCCATCTATATGAATTGCTAGAAGTGCAAAAATGCATAAAACTTACAAATTCTACTCTTGAGACTAAAACACGTTTTGGAAATAATGTTTAACAAAAAACCAAGCTCTTTTTAAAGTTTAGAAATTGAAAAGCGGCAAGATGGCATCAAATTCAACCAACAAAATTACTCCGAGAAACTTTTGGAAACATATGGCGTAAACGATGCAAAATCAATGAATACTCACAGGAGCACGAATACAAATACAATGCATTGCGCAAAGTGATGACTATGTGATGACAAAGTGAATCACTATGAGGAGTTTGGATGACAACTGGGTTTTTGCCTTTAATAATATATTCTAGTTTCTCAGGGCAAATTATCGCGATAATTATAGAACTTGTGGAAAAGGCAATACATCAGCTAAAGAATGATAGAGCACCAGAGTTCAGAAAGAATTCCAGCAAAACTAATTAAACATGGATCAAAGAAATTATACAAAATATTGAAATTTATACAAAATACTAAAATTTTAATAAGATCATTGGTAAATCGACACCAACCACATGAAAGAAGGGATGGATTACATCCCTTACATATACAAGAAAAAAAGAGATACCTGCAAAATTAATTATTTTTAGTAATTATAATGTTATCGCTGATTTGTAACACCGCATTCGTTCGCGTATCATTCATATCAAGAACACCATACGAAGTGACTGTTGAATTGTAGATACAAAAAAGTAAGTATATTGTACAATCATTGTGGTATATTAGTATTTGCAATTTCAAAAAGCTTGCGACTATTATATTTCGTTTGTGGTCGTGAGGTAGTCCGCGATGCAAAGGGATTCGATAGCGGAAGTTACGCGACGCCTCCGATAAAATCTTTCGCCATGATAGTCGATATAATTGCGTGGCACCGCGAATATCGGGAGTGTCGCAAAAATATAATATTGCGTTCGTTCGCGACACTATACGAAGTGAGCAATTATATCGCGTTATTAATCACTCTTTAATTTTCTCGATTCGTGTGATATTTGTGATAGATTTCGGGCTCGCAACCGGTATATTTCGTTCGTGAGTTCGCGATGGGAAGAAGGGGGGGGGGGATACACAAGGCGTTGATATGCAATTGCCTTCGACCGCCATTTATCGTAATCGTAAAGCATACGCGAATGTCGGGAATAACGCGAAAATGACGAAACATCGCGTTCATTCACGTTTTCACCTCGCTCGCTCATTTGCATCAGGCGATCGAGAATCGAAAATATCGAACAGACTTTTGAATTAAGCTCGTAATTAGCCGCTTTTCAAAGAATACCGGGTTTGTGAACGGAATATGTCGTGATGTATTCCGCGAGGCGCCGTACAAAATTGCTCTTAGCTGCCATAATTACCAGTCGCGAAGTATACGTGTATAACGAGAGTATCGGGAAAACATAGTAATTAATTTTCATATAAAAGTTTTGAGTATATGATTGTCTCAAAGCGCTAAGATCAATATATAAAAAGTTCACGCGATTTTTCATATGTTGAATAAAAAATAAAAAAATTTTTTTAAAGCTTTGATGGATCTGTTAGGAGTTCTGAGTAGCATCTCAAAAGTTCTAAAAGGAATCCTAATTATTTTTAATAATAATAATTAATTTTCTCTCTTTTCGGGCATGTGTTAGGCATTTTTCCCCTCCCGCATGACACAAAAAAAAAAGAAAAGAAGAAGAATATTATGTATGTTTAAAAATATTATGCTTTACATATAAGTTTTAAATTGTTTTTTTCAAGAAGAGAAATTTATTGCATAATATAAAAAAAAACGATTATTTTATAAATCCAGTAATAGAAACGACAAAATTTATTAGTTGATAAGTATAAAACTGAACAATATCAAGCGAAGCGGTAGCGTCACGACGCCAAGTATATAAAAAATTCTTTCCGGCTTGTCGACAGTTTTGCCTATGTACAGGGGCTGCAGCGCTACCAAGTAGCTTATCCGGATAAATACCTATTTGAGTTTGTGTGATTGAATATATTTCACACATTGTGTTGTTATTTTTAATTTTTATATTATATTTTATAAATTTAATATAAATAATTATATATACAAATGAAAATATAATTACATAAATGAGTTATTTCAAAGTAGGATATCAAATGCATAATATCTAACAAAAAATGGGACTGCTTACTAATTACATAGCATAATTAATATTCAAATATTTTCGTTTCACTTGTATATTTTAAAGAAAAAAAATATTAATCAATTAAGATTGATCATAGTCTTACGTAATTTAATTGACTGATTATCGAAAAGTAATTAAATATTTTTCTTGATAATAATAATAATTAATAATATCTTGTTGGCCGAGGTATATAAAAATTTTACAAAAATTTGATAATATAATAACAAAGAAAATCCGTATTTTTCTGTATGTTTTTCCAATCTTTTTTCTTGTTAAGAAAATATTAGCAATCGATATTTGATTAGCAAATAAGATAATCAAAAACATTTTTATAGAAAAATTTTTTCGGGATCCCGGCGATTTTATCAGAGTTCTGGGTAGCACCTCACGAGTTCTATCAATAACTCTTAACGCTCGAAGCGTTAAGACCGATATATAAAAAGTTCTCGCGATTTTTCGTATGTCGGATCGAAAAATTTCTAAGTTTCGATGGGTAAAAAATGTTTTCCGTATCCCGGCGATTTTATCAGAGTTCTGGGTAGCACCTCACGAATTCTATCAATAACTCTTAACGCTCGAAACGCTAACACCGATATATAAAAAGTTCTCGCGATTTTTCATATCGCAACTTACATTGTAAATGCATATCCTTGGAACATGCATGCTTGATACCATATACTTTACAAATTACAGAGTTGTCACTATACTGTCGCAAATATCTTTTTAGAAAAATCCCAGATGATTAATTTTTTTAATTAATTTCATACTTATTCAGCAGAACAAAATATACGCGTTCGCTTTTGTTCCTTTCTTAAGGGGATCCTGGACTACCGACCGAACGCAATTTTTTGAATTTACCAGTTTTTGTAATGGCTATACAGAATTACAAATGTTTTTACACGATTTAAGTACATACATCAATGCTCTATGGGACAGTCAACTTTATGCTGAAAACAAAAAAAAGTTAAAAAATTTTTTAACTTTTTTTTAATGAGATACAAGTAAAAAATGTATCTTTTTTTAAAAGTATTTAACCATTAATTTTAATTTAAATTAATATTTAAGAAATATTACTTAAGGATATTTAACATGATAATTTTTAAAACACATTATTTTTCTGATTTATTTACAATTAGAAGTTAGATTACGTTCATACCATGAATATTGAAAGATAAAAGCAATTTATAATTCTTGTTTAAATCTTTGTAATAATATTACATATCTCTTAATATATTTTTACACGATTTAAGTACATACATCAATGCTCTATGGGACAGTCAACTTTATGCTGAAAACAAAAAAAAGTTAAAAAATTTTTTAACTTTTTTTTAATGAGATACAAGTAAAAAATGTATCTTTTTTTAAAAGTATTTAACCATTAATTTTAATTTAAATTAATATTTAAGAAATATTACTTAAGGATATTTAACATGATAATTTTTAAAACACATTATTTTTCTGATTTATTTACAATTAGAAGTTAGATTACGTTCATACCATGAATATTGAAAGATAAAAGCAATTTATAATTCTTGTTTAAATCTTTGTAATAATATTACATATCTCTTAATATATTATGAGAAATATCAAACTCAAATATTTTTAGAATTAAGCATATGACCATAATAGACTTTTTAGATCATTTTTTGTTTGCGAAATGTTTGTCTTAAACGAAGAAATATAATTGTTTAATATAATTTATGTGTTTTTATTTCAGAAAAATTCAAGACACGATAACGGCTTATATGCACAGCCACTAATAATGCCTCAGGAAAAACATGATAATGACAGAATCAAAGGATAACACAACGACTACCGAAACAGAATCAGTATCTGCATCCCTATATGAGATAATAGATAATTTAGACGATGAAGAGCCTAGCAACGATCAAGAAAGTATACCATATTGCGTAAAGACAAAGCCTTACTATTCCATAAATGCAAAGTTAAATCAAAGGGAGAAAACGTCTGTTCCTCTTAATGTATTTGTTAATAAGTATCTCGATAAAGGATACTCGGAAGGTATAGCGGACGAAACCGCATCAATCACGGAGGATCAAATTGCACTTTTAGAAGATGTAAAACCGCCAACGGCCGCGTGGGACGGAAATTTCAAGTTGCTTGCGGCATCCGCACCCGGCAAAACTTCTCAGACGTACAACAAATCTAGTGTTACTTGTTTTATATGTGGTAAATAGTTGAGCAATCAGTACAACCTACACGTACACATGGAGACGCATAGCAATAGTTCATATAGCTGCACATCGTGCTCGCATGTATCGCGATCACGAGATGCGTTAAGGAAAGATATATATATATCGAAGGTTTCGATAAGCTGTCGTTACTTGGTAGTATATATACCAATTTCTTGCAAAAGGCTCGTTAATAAATATATTAAAATTTAACAATACTCACCCCTGGATTTCTTTTTTTCCTGATCGTACATTATGACCACTTCCATAACTTTGCCAAAGCGGGTAAAATAGGATCTTAGGTCTGTCTTCGTCACATTACGTGGTAAACCACCAAGAAAGACTTTTGGGAAGCCACCACTACGTTTTGGCTTCTGAAGAGTGCGTGGATTACATGGTTTTGGATCAATCTGTAATATGAAGTTGTTTTCCCTGATAACCCACCAACGAACAATTTACTGAAAGATAAGAAACAATATTTCTTTAATATGTACATTACTTAATTTAAAGAACAATATAACGCTAGCATAAATAAGTAACATATAACATCTGTGAATGAGATATACCATTATAAATCTTATAAACTTATTTGAATCCTCATCATGATAGCAAAAATGTTTTATGAAACTTATGAAGCTTGAGTCATATTCTTCAGTATCTTTTCTTTCTCATATAATTTTAATTTTAAAAAATTATTTTGAAATAAAGAAAAATAAATTTTTTTATTTCATTTTTAATTTAAACTTTTTTGAAAAATAATTAACTGTGAAAAGACATATATAGATTTTATTTGTATATTTTCTCAAACTCATACTATAAAATTAATTTATACTCATACCTGGATTTCTTTTTTTCCTGATCGTACATTATGACCATTTCCATAACTTTGCCAAAGCAGGTAAAATAGGATCTTAGATCTGACTCCGTCACATTACTTGGCAAACCACCAAGAAAACATTTTGGGAAGCTACCACTACGTTTTGGCTTCTGAAGAGTGCGTGGATTATACGTGGTTTTGGATCAATCTGTAATATGAAACATCAACAAAATATGTTTTATCTCATTCTCATATTCATGTACATATAAAATCATAATTTTCTTTGTAAACTAGATTTATAAAATAGATTACTGAATAGCACATTTAATAAAATTACAAATACATAAGATTATGATTGAAAACATATTTTGTTTTCCAGCAAAAAATTATTATATATTATTATCAAGAAAAATATTTAATTACTTTTCAATAATCATACAATCAATTAAATTATGTAAGACTTTGATCAATCTTAATTAATTAATATTTTTTTCTTTAAAGTATAAAAGTGAATGAAAAAAAATAATACTGAAACGAAAATATTTGACGCACTACCATCTGCGTTCTGGCTCTTACTACCCAGCGATTATTAGAAAATATTTGAATATTAATTATTTCTGAAATTACCGTAATTTCCATAGCCCTGGAAAGCTGCAGCAAGTTGAACATTATAGCTGCTTTCCCACTGATGCGGCGGCAGCGGCGGAATTTGTTGCTGTTGAGGCGGTCCCGGTGATGCACCCCAACCTTGAGCATTGTACTGGGTACTATATCCGGCGTATCCGGTTTGGGGGCTAGTGCCCCAACCCTGATATTGTTGCATCAAGTTACCAGGCGGGCCCATCGGTCCTCTCATCATAGGTCCACCCATTTGCCTGTTCGGGCCATCCATAGGCCTCATATTCCCGGCCATTTTCATCGGTGAGCCATCTTGTTGAGGTGGGCCCCACTGATCCTGATGACTATCGTTCATCTTGCTGGACGAGTCCCGCGGTTCTGCACGTTTAATTTCAACCTAAAAAGAAAAAATATGCAAATGTACTGTTAAATTATTTTTTTATCAAAAATAATAAAAAGAATTTTAAATTCGCATTAAATGCGCGTATACATATATTTCTAAACTTTATCTCAAAGATTTATTTTTAATGCAAATTTAAAATTCTTTTTATTATATTTGATAAAAAAATAATTTAACAGTACATTAATAATACTTATATAATAAATATATTAAAAGCAGTGTGAATGTTCATACTACTTTTAATATATTTATTATATAAGTATTATTATTTAAAAAAATGTTAGTTTATAATATAAGTATACCGTTATACTTATACCATATACCGTTTAATTAATGTGTATGTGACTTTGTATTTTATATATAGAATTAAATATTACTTCTATTTAATTAAACGGTATACTTATATCATAAACTGTATACTTATATCATAAACTAACATTTTTTTAAATAATAATACTTATATAATAAATATATTAAAAGCAGTGTGTGTTCACATTTAATAAAATTAAAAATACATAAGATTAAGACAAAATTATGATTTTATATGTACATGGGTATGAGAATTAGATAAAACATATTTTGTTGATGTTTCATATTACAGATTGATCCAAAACCATGTATAATCCATGCACTCTTCAGAAGCCAAAACGTAATGGTAGCTTTCCAAAAGTTTTTCTTGGTGGTTTGCCAAGTAATGTGACGGAGTCAGATCTAAGATCCTATTTTACCTGCTTTGGCAAAGTTATGGAAATGGTCATAATGTACGATCAGGTTGACAAAATGCTCCGCGATGCATCTGTCCACTGCTTCTTCATCCTCGAAGCTGAGAAAGCCAAATCCTGTTGTCCAAATGTGAAAAAGTATAATCAAAAACATGCTCGCCAGAACAATGCAAGAAATGAAATATTAAAAATTGTTATTTTTCTTTGAGATCTTAATATAAAAAGATCCTAATATAAAAATTAATTTACGCTCACCTCTGGATTTCTTTTTTTCCTAATCGTACATTATGACCACTTCCATAACTTTGCCAAAGCGAGTAAAATAGGATCCTAGGTCTGTCTTTGTCACATTATTTGGCAAACCACCAAGAAAAACTTTTAGGAAGCCACCACTACGTTTTGGTTTCTGAAGAATACGTGGATTACATGGTTTTGGATCAATCTGTAATATGAAGTAGTTATAATTACTCGTCATTTCATATCTCTCGGCATTTTCGATATATGCGGATATACAACCGGACGAATAAATAAAACGCGACGAACGCGATGTTCCACCATTTTCCCAATACTCGCGTATGCTTCGCAAATAGTTTTGCAACGGCGGACCCCTCGCGAAATAAATGGCGGTCGAAGCCAACTTCAGAACGAAATATACAAATCGCAAGCCCGAAATCCATCATAAATATCATGAATCGAGAAAATTAGAGCGAATAATAACACCACCATGAAATTGTACCTTTATATTTTCGCGATCACTCCCGATATTCGCGGTACCACGCAATTATTCCGACTATCATGGCGGACTATCGGACGCGTCGCGTAACCTTCGCCCTCGAATCCCTTCCGATCGCGGACTACCTCACGGCCACAAATGAAATCTGACAGTCACAAGCTGTTCGAAATCGCGAATACTAATATATTACAATTATTTTACAATATACTTACCTATTTGTATCTGCAATTCAATCCCGAGGAAGCGCGCGTCCTTACGCCACAGTGGTCTTCCCGAAAGAGAGGGATACCAACCACGAAGGTCAAAAAAGTGATGCAATAAAACAAAAGATAAACGATGAGTGCGTGCAGCCGAACAAACCGATTAGTAGCAATGCAACGTGATTGGCTTTTACTTTTAGAACCAACAAATCAACGTCGAGTGTTGATAAGACAATAACTCAGTAAGGATGTAAACCTATACGACGGATTAGCGTAACGCGGAATGAGAAGGGAACCAATCGCGAAGGTTCCGCAGTTTTTGTTACGTTCGCGGTTGCTTCCGTTCTCCTTCCGCGTTACGCTATTTCGTTGAGTTCGCCCCTCATTGTTCTGCTAAACGCGGCCATTCGCTTGGTGACATAAAGCATAATAAGCTCTTACGAAGAGAGAGAGAGAGAGAGAGAGAGAGAGAGAGAGAGAGAGAGAGAAAGAGAGACAGTTTAGTTTATTATAACAAAATACATATACATATATTTTATATATTTTAAAGCCATTAAACATGAAAAAGTTTTAAAGTCATGGTACATAAAAAACCGTAAATAATAAGACGTAAGAATTTCATCCATACGAAATTTTCAACATTACTTAAGTTTCAATATGGCTGCTTACATTCTCGACTGTAATTGGCTTTCTTTATATCTTAAGTCGTACTGCTTAAGTTTTTCCATGTACCATGGTCTTTAGTCATAGTCATGGCCTCATTTACACCGATATACTTTAATACCTACTTAATACTATATTACAATCACAGCCATTCCATTTTTTGAAGGAATAGCTATGATTGGCCAGCGTAGTATACCGCCCGACTATGATTCGTTTCGTCCCCCTTGCAAGATAAACGTAGGAGTGGAAATGGAAATACTCATATGGTGAACGTAGATATGGTGAGGATAGATATCCCCACTCCTACGTTCACCTTGCTAATAGCGTTTTCGAATGAACGGGTTAACCCAACCCGGTACAATTAATCACTATATTTTACTATGAATTCAAGCCTTTTATTGGCAGAGACAATGCAATGACATCATTAATCGCTTTGAGAGAATAATCGCCATGAAAGAATATAAGTGAACTTTTAAGAATGTATTTAGAAGCCTAGTAAAAAACATTTCGGTGTAAAAAATTTTTTAACTTTTTTTTTGTTTTCAGCATAAAGTCGACTGTCCCATAGAGCATTGATGTATGTACTTTAATCGTGTAAAAGCATTTGTTACCTGTACTTAAATCGTGTAAAGCATTTGCATTCTGTATAGCCATTACAAAAACTGTTAAATTCAAAAAATTGCGTTCGGTCGGTAGTTCAGGATCCCCTTAACATAAACTCGTGAAGTCTCATCTTTGTTTCGATGTGTACTTAAATCGTGGAAAAGGATTTATTATTCTATTCAACTAAAAAAAAGATTTCGGTGTGCAAAATAATAATCGTTTTGATCGGTAAAACAGACGAGTTGTGCATCCTCTTAAGAGCCTATCCAAAGAAATTTACATAAATACATAAAGCATTATAAAGAAATTAACCAATCAAGTGTCTAGGACGCCATATTGCTATCTTCTTCGTATTAGACAAATGATTGGTTGATTTTTCTGTGCATTATGTATCTATGCAATTTTATCTAAATAGACCCTAACTACATACATTCACCTGGGTCATTAAATACAAAAAAAGAGGGAGACGTGTCGCATTTTTATAGAGGGCGCACGCATTGAGTTATTGTTTCGCATCTTATGCACGCGTCTTCCAGAACGAAATTAAATATTATGTCGCGAGAATAAAGTATCATAAATGTAGAATCGAATAGTCGGGCAAGGTGAAGTCGTTCCATCGTCATGTGCAAATGGAGCTGAGGCCCTTGATACATAGGAACTAAGACAGACTAGATCTGTTGGGAAGGGTTTTTAGTGGGTATTGCCCGGCCGCGTTTGTTTAGGTCGGGTTGAGTCCCACACACGCCCTGGGGCCGGCCCTAGGGTACGGTGCTTAAACGCATTTTCCCCTCCCGTCGAACGAAAAAAAAAAAAAAAGATGAAGTCAATCATATAATCATATAGTCACTTTAAATTTAATGTTAGTTTAGAAATACCACAATTGTCGCGGACGTTTCGTGCGCATTTCTCCCGCCAAAAACTAATCCAGTCAATTTCGAGAGTGTCATATAATGTCGCGAGCGATATTTTTTCTCCTTACGTATTCGTATCGTTAACTGTTACACTAAATCGTGAGTAGTATTCTTGTGATTGATTTAAATCTACGTGCTGCCAAAGAGAGTCGACTGACAATGACGATGCTCTCAATGCTTACGAACATTTGTTAGTGAGTGAGTATATTTATATTTGATTAATCACATTTATTTATCTCTTTGTCACAATCATAATCGACTAAAATGTATACACACACGAGAAATTTACATCGATGCAAATTTATCTGGATATACACACGGTTAGTTGCGATACGAATTAGGTCGCGAATTGGATCAGGATAAGCAACCACGTCGATAAAAAACAGAGCTGATAGCGCTATTAGCGCTGCGCGACCGCTAGAGGAACGAATAATCGGGAAAGCGGGAAGTCAATCATATAATCACTTTGAATTTGGTGTTAGACTAGAGATGTCACAATTGTCGCGGACGTTTCGCACACATTTCTCCCGCCAAAAACTAGTCCTGTCGAGTATCGGGAATGTCGTATTAAGTTACGAGCGATTATTTCTTTCGTCATGTATTTATTTCGTAGTTATTTCTTTCTATTCGTATCGTTAACTTACGCGATCCAAATCGACTAGATGTGATTCTTGTGATTAATTTGAATTTATGTGCTAAAGCGAAACTACTGACAACGATAATGCTTTTGATGCTTACGAACATTTGTTTGTGTGTGAGTAAATTTATTTGTTATATTCGATTATCATTTATTTATCTTTCTGTCACTGTCATGAATCATAATCGATTAAAATATGTAGATATAAATATCTTCTCTCTCGCTAAAATTTTATTGTAATAACGGTCACATAACTTTCGAGAAACTTCTGGCCAGCTCTATGGAGAACAATCGGATAACCATGAACGCTCGCACATTCTTATGTAAGAATGCGTTACGTGCAAATCAACGCGTCGATTTTCTCTTTTGGAAGAAAAGAGGCGGGAGATCAATTTAGACTCGATGATAGATACGCGTTAAGCTTTAAGTACATGCATTGATATCTCTTAATCATTTTCCGGCCATTGCACGTCATCTCGTTTATTTTCCATGCTAACAATAAACGTATAATAACCATGTTTAGAGAGTCATTTATACATATATTCTAAGTAAAAATTAATGTCCATATTTTTTTATCCCTCCGGGAATATCCGTTTCAGAAAATTTACTCCTTTTAAAAGAAGCGAGGAAAAAACTTTTGCGCACGAGAACTAAAATATAAAATTTTTAATTATATATAAACTTTTCTTATAGAATTTTTTACAAACTATTTTACAAATAATATTCTACTCTCTGATGTCGTTAGAGATACATATATGTTGCATTTATATCGTATTCGAAAATAATTATGTATGTCCAGATTAGATTAAATTGGAGAGAGATAAACCAAGGCAATAGATTCAATATATTAATTAGTTAGTCGGAAGGCAAAATCCGAAGGATTTGCTGACAGCAAAATGTCATCGAATGAAGAGATTATTGCCAGACCGCAATCAGAAACGGTTGACGCTTGATCGTGACACAATGGTCACGTGCTGTAATACCGTGTTAAGACCTGTTAGACACTAGACAACACGCGTTACGATCGAGTTACGTCCATAGACTTATAGAGATAGACTGCGCGTCCCTGTCGAAAGACTGTCTTAAACATTAGAAAGAGAGAGCGATAACGATTGGATCTCTTTCTCTTTCTAATCGGCTATGTGATGGAGAGAATTGTAGGAGAGCGAGACTGCGAGTATATACGCATTTCTCCTCGCCTCTCCGTTCATTCCGCCAGCCGCGATATCCCCTTTCCTTCAACTGTGCGAGAGAGAAAGAGATCCGACCACTATATCTCTGCCCTTCAATGTTTAAGACAGCCACCGTAAGAGCGCGCAGTCTATCTCTATAAGTCTATGGTGCATACGGGTGATTTTTCCAAACGCGGCCTAGGCAAGTCTGTCCAATCGGGACATGGACACACATACACAAGACGTATACACACACAACCGATATCATTTTAATAATATCTATTAACTAACCTGTATAAATAAAGTGCAAAGTGCTTTCAATCCTCATCATTTGTGGTTTCTTGCTCAACGGTATTCGTACCTTCTTCTGGCTGTTCATCGCTCCATAAGTTGCGGTTAATCCTTCTCTCGCAATTGACTGACCGCGTGCGTCGATCTCGCATTCTGTGCCTCAATCTTTCTTTTGCCGTCCGAAGAGCTTCCCGAAATTGTAACTGAAATTCCGACCGAGTCGGTTTCTCGAAATGCCGGTTAGAACACACAGCCTCTGAAAAAAGAACGCAAGATACATTATTGTTAGAGGGACACGCAATAATGATTATAACAGTTACATGAAAAGAATGGAAAAGATTGTACCATAAATAGCCACAGTGAGGCGAGCATTATACAAGGATCGTCCTTCCTCGCGACCCCACCAAGTGAATGAAGGTGTTAACGAATCTTTTATAGCTTCCTTAAAACACAGATTTATGGCTTCTTTCAAATTGAAGCCGCCGATATAACTGAAATAACTGACCTAAACAAAGTAAGTAAAAATTATAAATAAATATATATATATTAGATAAAAATTATAAAGAGCATACACCTTTTTCATTTTACTTACGACGTCAGAATAACCTTCCTCGTCGATTCTTTCAAATGTATCCATTTCTGTTAAAGATGATATTGGGAGGATAGCTGGCTTATGTGATGGATGATGGCGATGCTGCACGCATTTCAACACTTTTTCCAGCAAAGTATTCATTCTCCTACAAAAGATTAATCAATATTACAAGGATGTCGTAACAGAGATGTCATATGTATTAATAAATACGATACATATTAGATACTTACTTCAGCTCTGCCTCCACACGTATACA